CTCTGCATATAATCACATACTGAGTCTATTTATGCATGTCCGTCCGACGGTCTGCCCATTTATTTTTGTAAACAAAGTACAGATCGCACCTGTTGTCCGAACGAAATGAAATTTTGCAAAAATTTGGCCCAAGGACGATCCCTATTGAAATTGGAAATAATCGGTCAAAATGTAGATATAGATCCCATATATATATTCGGCCGATTTGCACCAAATATGTAATATTGGTCTAAAAAGCATGGAATTTAGAACATACGACCAAATTGATCGTAGAAATAATGGTGTCAAATTAGGTGGAAATCGGTTCAGATATATCTATAACTCCCATAAATATGTTTAATCTAATTTGTTATTTTTGTTCTCCACAGCCGTAATATGCATTCTGTAACGGCGAAATATATCAAATATAGCTCAAAAATACCTTTGCCAAATATTTTCGAGATCGGATCAGATTTGGACATAGCTACCATATATATATTTATTCGATTACAAGTTTATTGTGCACAAAATGGTTAAAAAAGCCCAAAATTTGGTGAAAATCGGTTAAAATATAGCTATATGTTCCACATATATATGTTTCATCCGTTTTTTGCATTTATGTCCCTCACATCCGTAAAATACTTACCACATCAACGGTACAACTATCAGATTCAGTATAGAAATACATCTGTTTAATTTTATAGAGATCGGTACAAATTTGGAAATTGGTCCCATCACACTTACTGTTCCTAAAAAATGTAATAAAAACTCAAATGGGATGGATTTGGATTATTATTGATTTAGACACAAATGACTCTGTCAAATTTAATCGAAATTGATTCAGAGGAGGATATATCCACCATTTATTAGTTTCATTCGGCATAAAATTATAATTTTTGAATGTGTATTATGATTTTAGATATAATAGTTTAAATCGTCAAAATACTCCCAGATGGATCTATTAAGAACTTACCCTGCCTTGTAACACAAACACATACGTGCAAAACCGACTTAGAATATTTCGCTGATCTAGTGTATGTATTCACTTTGCAGGATATAAAGTGATTATTTCAAACAGTTACTAATTGAATGAAAAAATCAATGAACCCTGCATAGTATTGGTAATCAAGTAAAAACACATTAAGTTTGGCCCGGCCGAACTTTTAATACACTCCATCTTAGGGTAAAGGAAACATTAGAACCCATTGTGACTCACAAATACCAATTTTTAGAAAAGTCAGCGAAGAAATGTGTCAAAAATTATCAAAATACCTAATATCTGGAGGTACCGTTATATGGGAGCTATACCAAAACGTGGTCCTATACATACAATGTTTCGCCACCGCAGCCAAAATCCATTATGACCAACAAATACCAAATTTTAGACAAATCCGTGAAGAAGTGTGACTAAAACCATCAAAATACCGAATTTTGGGAGGTACCGGCCCGGCCGAACTTTTAATACACTCCATCTTAGGGTAAAGGAAACATTAGAACCCATTGTGACCCACAAATACCAATTTTTAGAAAAATCCGTAAAGAAATGTGTCAAAAATTATCAAAATACCGAATATTTGGAGGTACCGTTATATGGGAGCTATACCAAATCGTGGACCTCTACAGACAGGCGGACATCGTTAAATCGACTTAGAATTTTATATTGATTATGAATATATATATATAACCCCATAAAGGTCTACTACGAATATTTGGGGATGTTGCGAACGGAATGACAAAGTTAATATACCCAATATACAAAGTGAACCCCTAATTTGAACTCCTCCTCCACTGGACCGATTTGTGCGCGACAAAAGATAGCTCATGTTATGTGGATGATTCTATCGATGTGTTGTAGAACACCCCATCTAGTCGAGAAGTTGTTTTAGATAAGAACAAGTAATAAATCTGTATGTTCGGCCGAGCCGAACTTTGAATACTAATGTCGCAAAAACATAAGGTAACGAATACAGAGAGGTATATGGGGCTATATACGCAGACCTGGACCTGCATAGGCAATTTTCTGTCAAAGGTTGTAGAACCCATTACGAAGTGTAAATACGAAATAATGCCGCTGAAATTAAATAAATACCGAATTCAGTGGGGTACCGATATAGGCGGCCTATACGAAGACGTGAACCTGCTAGACAATTTTATGTCACAGGCTGGAGTACCTATTAGGAACTTCAAATACGAAATTTGAAACAACTCCGGTGAATAATGTCGCTAAAATCATCAACATACCGAATATAGGGAGGTACAGTATATAGGGCTATACCTAAACTCAGACCAATGAGCCCATTTTTAATAGCAAAAGTCCAACAGACAAACAGACATTAAGTTAAATCTTATCAACCTCCTTAAATTCGTTCCGAAGCTATAGTGATTTCCACAGACGGATCTTTCGAGGTGTTACAAACGGAATAATGTCGAGATTTGATATGCAAATTTGGTTTCCCACTGGCAAAACACACAAGTGTGCAAAATCTTAGCCTTCTATCTCAATTCTTTCCAAAGATAGGGTGGTACACAAAAGACATACGAATCGACTTAGAATTTTAAGTTGATGAAGAATATATATGCATTTTAGGGTCTGGCATAACTATTTCGAGGAGTTACAAACGGAATGACAAGTTAATATACCCTCCATTGTATTACTATACCATTCATTTGTATTAGAAAGCTTTTCATTTCATATCTTTAAAAAAAATAATAATAATAATAAAGAACTAAGCTATACAACATAGAATGACTATAAAACAAATAACCGAACTAAGCGTTGCCAAAATTACTCCATATATAAAGCAGTTTCAATTTTCTGAGCCGCACATTTGCATTTCTATATATAGCTTATCCATAGATAATTATAATCTGAATGAAATGTTTCTACGATGGTTTTGCTTTCATTTCAATTTCATTTTTCTCCACAATTCATTGCCTTATGGGAGGAGACAGGGTGGGCGATAAAATTTTCGATTTTAGTAAAGTGCCAAAAGCGTTTTGTGTTTTTCATTTGTGATTATCACTGAGTTTCTGAACACTGGTGTGTCCATATCTACGACCAACAGCTTTGGCTACCTTTGTGGCATTAGTAGCGTGATTAGTCGTCCAACAAAGACTAATAAACGAACCACCGGCAAAGCAGCCAGCCAGCCAACAGCCAAACAAGCATAATGACAATCAAATTTCACTCCGGGCACAAATTGTTGACTTTTGTAAAAGCCAAAAAACAAACAAATACACACACACACACACGAACGCCCGTCACACACAACCATGGTCGTGGCTTAGTAGATGGCCAACAGTTTGGTGGAAAAATTAAAAATTTAAATTAAATTTAATTGACGTATCACATAACGCTGAGTGTGGAGAGCAGCCCCACATTTAGTGTCATTTACGTGAACGATATTCATCAGAACACCGTCCGCCGCACACCCCCTTACGAACACACACACACTCACGCCAGAAACAAATGTTAACTGATGTGCGATATTTAGAGCTGAGCGGTGGATTTCTTTGAATGTATTCGCTTTTAAGATGTTCTACTTTCCATTTAGCATAATGTTAATGACTGGTATTCTGCCCTGACCGACCTTTCTTTTCACCATCACTGACACTTTTAGGTAGATCGTTGCTGAAGAGTCTTGGCATGCCTCTGAAGTGTGCATATGTGTGTATGTGTGTTATTTTAATAATTTGCATTAGCACTTTCAGATGTTGACGCCCTTTTGAAAAAGCTTAGAAGAATTTCCAAATACACTCAGACAAATCATAAAATCCAATTAAAGGAACAAAGTTTTAAGAGCAATAACAAATATCAAGTCATACAATCATAACTTGCCGTCTTTACTGACCGTCTTTAAAACAACGTTAACCCCATTCGGCAATGGAGTAAATCCATACCTACGTTTAAAAAAAATGATAAAAAAAATATTGTAAAGTTATTACAATTTTGGAAATAAAAAATTATTTGAAGATTGGCTGATAGTAGGGGTGGTTTTAATTTCGAAAATGTGAAATACTGATCAATTTGAGTAGATACTCGGATAGGGAACATTGGCCAATGGGCAGAATTCACAGCAACTACGCCCAGCTACACATTCTCAGTGTACCTGTTATTTTCGTATGTTAATGTATGCGTCTCACAACACTCACACACTCGCAAACAATCGTCACATATAAATTTTAATGGGATTGTAGCACGTTAAGCATTAGTCACCTGCTCTTCTTGGTTCTTTTGAATTTCATTAACGTTTTCCTCGTTGTCTTTTCGATTTTAATGGGACACATAAAAAGTTTCGTTTTCGTTTCATGGCATCAGCAGCAACAACAACGACAACAACAACTCCAACCGCACGATATTTGGGTCAGTATAATGACAGACGATGGACGACAACGCCAGCAATAAGAGCGGCAAACACTGAAACCGAACATTTATGGAATTTTCGAAAACTTTTGGACGGATTTTCGCTTTCATTTCGTTCTTGTGACGTGTGCTGGTACGTTTTGGCTTTGCTCTTTGCGTTGGCTTCTTCTTGGATGCGTGAGTCGTGTCATAAAAACGAAACGATTGTGAAATCTGTCTGTGCTCTTAACCAAATTGTGCCAATTAAGTGGTGTCGAAGAGTTACACACATTTTAATTGTGGCGGTGGCTTTTGAAAAAACAAAGAAGAACGGCTTAAGAAACAAAGCAAAGTCATACCTTCTCACGTACTAACCGTTTGAGAGTTTGTCTTCTTTATGTACTAAACAAAAGCGACAATGCATGCGTATGTTCGTATGTATGTCCTATGCTTATGCATACCAACATGATGGATGATACCAACAAATTTAATGGTAGCTTTCTTCCAACAAAAAAATGTAGAAATAAATTTATTCATAGATACTATCTAATTGAAATCGAAATTAGCACTTCTCATTGAGATCGCATTCGTTAATCTATTAAAGGTCAAAGAACCTTCTTAAAAATATTCCACCTAGAAATCTCCCTCCAATTATAATTTCTTCTTTATTTAATTTCAGATTCTGCGTTGATTTCATATAACTACATAACAATGAGGTAAGGAAAACTACGCATATAATCATTTTAGTTCTCACAAAATTCATTGATTTCGTTATGCCCTACATTTGCAAAGGCATTAGTAAAATAATGGATAAATGGAAACTTTCTATAAAAAAATTGAAAAGTTTTTAAGTTTAGGAAAAGTGAATATTTTATTAATTTGTTTCTCTAAGGCTTTGTTCGATTCCAAATCGAAAGAAATGCAGTTAAGGGCTTTCTAATTGTCTTCTGGTCGGATAGCGACTAGAGCCTACAGCTAAATAATGTATACGAATCTTTAATGCAATTTTTTTCTAAAAAAAAATACTGTAATTCGGATGCTTAATCCAGGCACAACATGAAAAAATTTTTTTACGCATTTTTATATCCTACACGCAATGGATACTATACCCTTTGACATAAAATTGTATATGGAGGTTCATATCTTCGTATACCTCACATAACGGTACCACCATTTTTCGGCATTTTGATGACATTTCCAACATTATTCAGCGGAGTTATTTTAAATTTCGCATTTAAAGGTACTACGTCTATTACAAAAAATTACCCATGCAGGCCTTTGTCTTCGTATAGCCGATTTTCATTTGAAGGCATTTTTCGACGAAATTTTCTTAACATTTTGCAAGTTCTTTCCAAATGGGGGTGGGTATTAAAAGATCGGTCCGGCCGCACTTTACTGCTTTTTATTTGTTTATACTTTTTTATTTAAGTTACATTACAAAATGACCCACAATTCTTACTGATATACTTCGACAATATCTTCTTCTATATTTATAAAAGAGGAAAATGTTTGTATGTTTGTTTGTAATTTATGGACTCGAAAACCGCTGAACAGTTTTTCCTGAAAATTTCCAAGTATACTAGAAAACCGCCTGAAAGTAACATAGGCTATATAAATTTTTGAAATTCCACTTGGAACTGGAGATATAGCACCAGAATCGGAGGTACCTCCCAAAATTTTAGATTTTAAATGCACATATATATTGACCGATTATAGATACAGTGTCCACATTTGGGATACGTAACGGAATTTGAAACAAATATAAATTTGGCAAATTATATTGAAATCGGTTCCGATTTAGATAAAGCTCCCATATGTATTTTCGGCCGATTTCGTTTATTTGATGCACAGACACGATATATACGTTATACTTTAACAAAACTTGGAATGAGCGACGGGATTTAAAAAAAATAAAAAAAATAAATTTGCCAAATTATATTGATATCGGGTCAGATTTGGATATAGCTCCCTTATACATTTTCGACCGATTTCGTTTATTTGATGTAAAAGTTAATTAATTAATTTATTTTCTGATCAAAATCCCGCCACACATTCCAAATTTAATTGGAATCGAACATAAATATCGTATTTATTTATGTTCGATTCCAATTAAATTTGGAATGTGTGGCGGGATTTTGATCAGAAAATAAATTAATTAATTAACTTTTTTTTTTTTTTTGAAATCGTTTCGGATTTGGATATAGCTCCCATATATATTTTCGGCCGATTTAACATACTTGATGCACCTAACGAGATATGTATGTCCGATTCCAATGAAATTGAAAATGTGTGGCGGAATTTGGTAAAGAAATAAATGTTGCAAATTATATTGAAATCGGTTAAGATTTAAATGTTGCTCTCAAATATATTTTCGGTAGATTTCACATATTTGATGCTCCAAACACGATATGTTTGTCTAATTGCAATGAAATTTAGAATAAAGGACGGAATTGAGTACATAAAATTGTCGAATTATATTGAAAGCGGTTAAGATTTGAATATAGGTTCCACATATATATATTTCGGCCGATTTCATGTATTTTATGCACCAAACAAGATATGTATGTCCGATTAAAAGAAATTTAGAATGTGTGGCAGAAGTGACGTAATTTAGTACAAAGAAAAAAATCCAAATTATGTTGAAATCGGTTGTGATTTGGATATAGCTCCTATATATATTTTCGGCCGATTTCACATATTTGATGCAGCAAACTCGATTCCAATGAAATTCAGAATAAGTGAATATCAGACTGTGTTGTGGGATAAAAATAAATTTTCCAAATTATATTGAAATTGTTTGAGGTTTGGATATGCCTCCCATATATATTTTCGGCCGATTTCGTATATTTAATCAAAAAAAAAAAAAAAAAATCCACCAATTTCAATGATATATGGCAGGTGTGACGTTCTTTGGTCCAAAAATAAATTTTGTCAAATTATATTGAAATCGGTTTAGTTTGGTATATGATTTTGTCCCACAACGTAAAAAAAACTACACACCAATTTAATTGAGTATATGATTATTACGGGGAAGTATGTTTCTACCTCGAATTCTCTAATTGCAACAGAAATGCCACTCAACTTCTAAAGATTGCAGTTTCCTGCAGCTTGGGATTTGCTATGAAATTAATAAATCCGAAGGACAAGCCCTTCGTATATGCGGACAAAATTTGGCATGTTCCTGCTTTTCTTATGGTTCCTGTCATGTTCACGCGTTGGTAGACCGAGCTATTTGTTTATTTACACATTAAACCATTACAACAATTTTTTTTAATTTTTGAACATATTTGACAATATGCTATTTAGGCTTACTTAAAATATTTTTCAATGTCTTTTAGAAAACTAAGAATATATATTTATATGGCTGTAAATTTGATTCCTTACAATAATATAATATATTGGAAAACCCTCGTAGGTCCATTCCGATGTAAGTTGATTTACTGAAATAATACAGTCCTGCAAAAATGTTACCTTTGGTTTTTGGTCGGTGGCATTTGCTCTATATTTACGCCGTTTATCGTACTGATACCTATTCAAAAAAATTCACAAAAATGTTGTGGTGCATTTAATCTGCTATATATTATCCAAAATTTTAAGCTTTTGCCCTGTCTTAAATTCATGCGAAATTCCGTGTCGGTTGGTCGTTGATTGAGGTCTGTGCAGTGACTTCAATATCATGACAATTTTCAGATTATAGTCAATTTCAACTCCTAAATATTTTGTGAACATCTTCAAAACCAATAGGCTAATATTCTGACCCTAACCCAACCCTCTTGGGGAATTTTCTGAGGATCAAACGATAATTGCGACACGTATATAATACTTCCAGCACATATTGTTGTAGGGTATAAACAAATATTACAAAATATACCATTCAATATTGTAAGACAAATTGAAAAAATCTCAAGGGATAGAAAATATGACAAAAATATCATAAAATATTACCAAAAAAATAATAACAATTCGCAAAAATTATTGGCATCTTTTTACGCGAGTTTTCCGCCGTGAGGCCATTCTGAATTGGTGTTACTTGTCGAAATTAGTTCAGATGTTCTCGAGTTATAAGCGGTCTTATTAACATTCACTTCTTAGACATATAAATGTTGTATATATGTTGCTATATATATTAATGTTACGGACCTTTTTGTGTATTTGTAATTTCGCTTTGTGATTTCCACATTTTTATGTAAAAGTTATAGTTTATTTCCACCGCTAATTATTATTCAATATGTGCGTGCGCTTCTCCTCTTCCAAAATCCATACGCAATTTTCTCCAACATTCTGCACATTACCATGATCTACAAAAAAGTATCAGTTTTTTAAAACAAATTATATCATTTCATTGCTATTATAAACTAAAATTTTTGCTTATTAGTGTGGTTTATGGTGTGATCAATAAGCCCCGTTACTTTTTTTTTTGCATTCTATCGCTATTCTCTTTGAAATTTGCATTTGAGTGTAGTAATGTGTAAAATAAACTGGACACAAATTTAGCACATATAAGTATAATTAAATTTTTTTGAGGTATTATTTAATCAAAGGAAGACAAACTTTCTTAATAAACATTTTTTAGATATGGCTAAAAAAAGTGGTGTGCAGATGAAGAAAGAAAGATTATTCAATGAAAAATTATTCAATGAACTCGAGAGGAACAAGTATAAGTGAGATTGCTAATACATTGAAATGCTCCAGGAAGATGGTTTATAATGCACAGACATATTCAGAAGTATAAAACATTTAAAAATGTTACACAGGCTCCTCGGCCCAGAAAAACTTCACGTAAAGAGGACTCTATAATATGCCGAGCATCATCGAGCTAGATTCAGGAAAATATGGTATCAACGTGTACAGCAGAAAGATAAAAAGAAGACTTAATGAAAAAAAATACGTAGATGCATTTCTCAGCATAAGCCACATGTTTCAAAAAAGAACATACAAGCTCTGTTGTCCTTTGCTCGAGAGCATTTGGAAAAGCTGTTAATTTTTTGGAAAAATGTACTTTAAAGTGATGAATCTAAATTTTGTAAATTCGGATCGGATGGTAAGAGGTATGTATGGCGTCCTCCGAACATGCAACAAAATCCAAAGTACACCAGTAAAAGAATAAAGCACGGTGGGGGTAATATGATGGTGTGGGCAGCATTTTCTGAGTATGGTGTTGATCCTATAAAAAAGATTGATACTCGTATGGATCAGTATGTATACCAGAATATATTTCTAATTACAATGATACCTTATGCAGAGGACAACATGCCACTTAGGTGGATGTCGACGTGTTAAAATGGCCAGCCCAATCTCCGGATCTCAATCCTATAGAGAACCTTTAGAATGATGTGGAGCAGCATGTAGTGAGAGGAAAACCTAAAAACTTGGCCGATTTATGGAAAGAAGTAGAAAAAGCTTGAAATGGTATTTCAGTGGATCACTGTATGGCCCTTGTAGAGAGTATGCCAAGGAGACTAGCAGCTGTGATAAAAAATTAAGGATATCCAACTAAGTAAGCACTTCTAGAGAGTATGCCAAGGAGACTAGCAGCTGTGATCAAAAATTAAGGATATCCAACTAAGTGCAAAGTTTTTAGTGAAATAAGTTTTTTTTTTTTTTTTTTTTGTTTTGTAACTTTTTAATATGAATAAACTTTTTTTGTGCGAAAATACTGTCCAGTGTTTTTTTTTTTTTTGAGGTTATTCTATTCTGGATAGAAAAGCGCAAAATA